CCTGTCCAATACCTGCATGCATTCTATTTGTTACTATAATCCACAAAGAACAACTTACATTGTCCAAATCAGGAATTTCCAGAAAGTACTCGGGATACTGATACGACATTCCCACATTGTTCACTGAAATAAAACAAGATCATTAGCTGGCTAACATATACATTTTATAGATTTATTGAAATAGTGGGATTAAAGATATTAAGACTAAGATGATACATACAATTTCATAAAATGCTGTTTATGTCTAGAGTGACCTTTCTATCTGAAATCTACCCATAAGGACAGTTCAAATGTCTCCTGCTTCATTAAGCATTTCTGTTCCTACTACCCAACCCCTGACAAAATGACTTTTTATTTGCCTCTGAATGTCCATAGCCCCTTGGAGTGTGTATGTATTTCACCTCTGTAATACAGTTACTTGTAAATACTCCCTAACGCCTCTCTAGATCTTAAGTTTTCATAGTGTAGTAGGAGAAGTGGAGAGCACTGCAGGGCAGGAGGATAGAAACTGGACTTCTGTGTAACTGTTTCAGAAAATACGCGACGTGGGATGAGTCACGCGCAATACGCATCTCAGCGTCTTCATGTCTGAAACGAGAGTTTGTTTAATCATTCAAGACCTGGACTAGAAACTAGAAAAAAACAGAAAGAAAAAGGCAGTTTGTGACATCATGGAGCAAACTATCCAGTAGGAAGAGAGAGGCACTAAATGAAAAGATTCGAACAATTATTTCATCACAAAGGACAGACTGCCCTGGGAGCCTGTCCCAGACCTCATCTGGGACGTGAGGGAAGGCTCCTCTGTGGAGGCCAAGAGAGTGGGTCAGACCTAACATCTCCAATGGACCAGCCATCCCTACTAGATCTGGAAGTCGAGGCTATGTCTTAGCCTTCCTTGTATCTTCCCCCCTCAATCACTTAACCGAAGGTTGGGGTTACGAGACAACTGAGAAGCCATGAAAAAATGTATACATAATTAGTCACATGATTAATACTCAGGTATTCTATGGTTTTTTTCCCCTAGCTCTAGAAGACAAAGATAGACCCAGAATAAGGAACATTTGCAAGAATCAAAAAATAAAGTATCTTTGAATTTATCTTAACTAAAAATGAAATGGATAAACTGTCTGTCTGTCTGTCTGTCTGTCTACCTTTAATCATTGCAACAGTCCTATTTAGCTAGTTCCTATTATTATCTCCCTTTTACATATTAGGAAACTGCAGTTCACAGCGGTTAAATAACCTATCCAGGGTCACAGAGCAAAGTAAGACCGAGATTCAAACTCAGGAAATCTGACTTCAGAGGCTAGGCTCTTAACCACTACTTTAAAGCCACCCTATGCCTTCATTCAGTATTCAGTCCAGGAAAAAATGTCAGTAATAATTGGATAATAAACAGAAATCTGATAGCAATGTTTAATAAAACTATAAAGTATTTGAAAAAGAAAGGTTTCAGGAGCAAAAAGATAATGAAATTCTGATCAGTGTGCTAAAGCTTAGCAGGAATTGTGCCAGATAAACCTGACAGTAGTAATAGTAACTTTTTCAATAGACTAACAAAATTAGTCTTTCAGAGGGACTCAATAAGGGTTCTATATTTAGCAGTAAGCCAGTCACTTGAGGCTGTGAGTCTCAAGATTTTACCTGCACAATTCGGTCAGGATGGCTTGAACAAGATCACTGAAACCTGTCTGAAAATCTGTAAGCAAAGGACAGTGACAAAGCAAACTGTATTTAATTAGGATTCGTCCCAATCTGAATAGGCATGGTAAACAAACAAAACAATAAGAGCAGGTTCAAATCCATTTTTATTTTATTCAAAAGGTCCCCACCCACCAGAGGTTCTAGGAATTCTATAAAAGATCTGTTAACTGAGCCAAAACTATTTGAAGGTGAGGGTTTACGTTCACTTGACTTTGCTTTAACCATCTATAGAGTTATAAAGGGTGACTTACAGTGTTATAAGAGAAACGGCAACAACCAAAATATCTGTTAAAATGCTACATATAAACCATATATTCTTTACAAAGTCAGTTTAAGATGACAGAATCCTCAAGGGAAGGTTTTTGCCAAATTGTAATATTCTGCAAGAGTTAAAGAAAATTCCATTACATACAGTGAACTCCATCTCCCTTCACTCTCTGGTATCTAGAAAACTTCCTCTCTTCAGATCTCGTTCTAGCCCATGGAGATATTAATGTTGTATTTCAAAATGCTAAAGAAAACTGAATAGTGTAATTGTAAGTCTTTTAAAACCCAGATTTGGCTTTTTAAAAAAAATCCGGAAATGTTGTAAGCAGCACAGTTGACTTTGCAATCTTTGCAGCATGTGCTAACAAGGACAGTCAAGCTAAGGAAGCCCATGAATAAGCAAGCAAGCAAGGCTGTATTTACAACAGGAAGTCTTCAGATCTGTCTCCGCTAACTGAGCAAAAGAAAGCTATCAAAGCTATCTACTCACACAATGAAAACGTGATCACCTATTTAACACAACCCTAAACGAGAACACGGTCAATACTGAACTTAAGCCCAAAGAAATAAAGAGTATCACAGTATAAAGGCTATGCTTTTATAACCAAAAATACACACAGGAAAAAAAAAGTGTTAAAGCTGGAAGAGCTCTTTCAGAGCACTGAGCCTGATTTTATGCGGGGAAGTACTTCCCAAGGTCACACTGGCAAGTTGTCCTTTACTGGGGATGAGGACTCTCACATTCCTCCCTGCTGTATTCACTCTACCTTTCACTAGCGGCATATCTGCTGCCCATCATCTCTCCACAATAACTAATCACTTCAGAGTGCTATTATTTAAGAGTAGACAGAAAAACAACTGTTGCTCTCAAATAGTTATTTTCATAAACGGCACAATCATGCGAGTCTTTTGGAAAAGGCAGACTCATTGCAGTTTTATTTTGAGACATTAGGTGGCAGCAATAACCAAACGGCAGGCAGAAAGCTTTCAGGGACTTGGAAAAGGAAGAAAACAGGCTTTGGGTGGGAGTGAAGGATGGAAATATTTCCATTATAATTTAATCTCATTAAGAACGGGTACATGCAATTCCATCTTTATATATTACAGGATTCATTACAGGATTCACCAAACCAAACAATGCCACAAGGAGTTCCAACATTATTCAGATAGTTGAAAATCCCTTTTAAATGGTAGCACTTTAAACTGGCATTTAATATCTGTTCATTCGTGAGTTTTCTTGAATTCTTCAAGTGAGGCATCAGAGGCAGATTTAAATTTTTTTTATTCAATGACTTGAAAAACCGTTTTAACTCATGTAACACACCATGTCTTTCAGAAAAAGAAGGATGTCCATGTAATGTCTGAATTCCAACCACTACCCCAATAATCGTGACAGGGCCATGAACAGATATACAACCTTTCCCATCAGTTTCTCAATAGAGTTCTGAGACTGGGAAGAGCTCAACAGAAGAGATGAGGCAGATGGAGAACAGAGGTGAAGCCAGACCAAGAATAAGGAAAGGTAAGTGGAAAGAGATGTTGCAGGATTTTTGCAGGGAAGAGGTGTCAGTGCTTTGTCCTCAGCAGTGCTCTCCACGTCTGCCACCCAGAACTGTCGTGAACACCAATACCAGTAAGGACTGTATCTGAAAGACTCAGAAAATCCAGAGTATTTCTGAATGTTATGTAAATATTCTCCATTACATCATACTACTGTTTAAAAATCATTTCCACACTTCGTACTTAATGACAAGAATACACACAAGATTTGTTTCTTCTAAATTCATTTACTGCTGCTTCTGACTTTACTGGACTTAGAATCCGTTATCAAAACCAGCTGCTATAGAGATAATGATGTCATTAGGAAATTAGATTGTTGTATCTGGGTTGGGCTCGAGGGAGGAAAAAATGACAATAAATTACTAGAGAATCAAAGTCCATTGAACAAACACACCAATAACAGATATGGGTAACCACACACAGATCACCTCCAACCTGCTGCCTTTTGCAGATTTATCAGACCTAAGAAGATAATGTGTTTTAAAAATATGCTGCCTAAAGGTTGGGCTTCATATATATATCAAATAATGCAAAGTATTCTCTATTCCTTCCTCATCATATTAAAGTAGAAAACGTTTACGTTTCTATTTCAGTCATATCTATAGTTGCACACACTAATACAGGTCAAGCACCCAAAAGAAAGACTAGAGAGATGGAAAGGCTATTAGAGTTCATTAATAAAAATAATATTTCAAAATATACTAAAGTCTTTAAATGTAGACCTAAGTAATACCACAAATGGGAGAAACTTCTCACGTCTTAAGCTTCTGTACGAGAAGGGTATGGATCTCAAAGTCCAACAGACCCAAGTTTCAGTCCTGGTCCGACTGCTACCAGATCCTAACAAGAGTCAAGTGATTGCACCCCAATAAGCCTCAGTTTCCTCATCACCTTTATATACAAAATAGGGATAACAATTTAAGAATTAAAAGAGATAATAAGCATAAAGTCTGTAACCCAATGCCTGGAATATACTAGTATGTTAATAAATGGAGGAGAAAGAGTCGTTATTGTTGTGTGGTCATTTTCTCAACAAGTGTTCACTGAACCCCTGTTTTGCACCCAACACTATGTAGGTGCTGGGTGGGGCTACGGCAGGACAGCCACAGGCTCTGTTATTAATCAAAAATGTGACCAGTGTTAAAGTGGAGAGATCCTTCTGAAAGGGAGCTCTAAGCAACAGTTAGCCAGAATAACTGTTTATACTGATTGAATTTATCCTAATTGCTCCTCCACCCTCTTTACTTCATTCAAGTAGATCTAATCTTAGAATCTACAGAGTTTGGAAAGTGATGCAAAGAAAATTCCTTCTTTGCCTTATTTAACATATTGCTGTAGCTAGCACATGTTCAGACTCTGACAGATGATATTTGGAACACCAAGTAAAACATTTTGCAAACTTTACAGTTTTCATACACTTGTGAGTAGCAATTTCTAAATAAAAGAGAGTTTACAAGGCTTTAAATTTGCAGTGCTTTCACTCAGAAATTGGAAAATTAAGATCGAGACAGAAGCAACACAACAGAACATCTCATTTCCACTGTTTAATTATAAACTGCTATGTGATGCTCATTACAGAACCACGTAAAGTTTGCCATACACAAACTTGGAAGAGGATGAGGAAAGAAGGATGGCAGAAGGCTGGCAGTTAACTCTCAGCGAATGGGAGGAATACCTATCAATTTCATGAATTACGGCTCTACTTACATTTCCAAAATCACAACTAATTACCTAGTTTTAAGTTAAAGGTTTTACTCTAATTAATACCATTAGTGGTTTTCGAGTAAAAGGAAATACATTTGAAGTGTAGGTCTTATTCTCACTTTAGAAATCCAATCTCATTCAGTACATCTAATGGAACTATAAGGCACTCTATTTAGTCTAATAATGTTCCTGATGAGTCTCCTGGAAAAAAAAAATTCCATACCTATTCTGCTTGCTGTGATCGGCTACACCAGGCTTCTGCTTCATGCAACATAAAGCAGCGCATTTATGCCAGATCCGGCTGTCTACTTGGATC